CTTTATATGTAATATACATTGAGTGCATGGTCATATTGATGTCACTAAAATTATTACATTATAAGAGATATGAGTAGAGACTAGCCAAATCTCACACCACAAAAATTTCAAATTTCATCCTATTATAAATTAAAAAGCAAAACAAAATTATACATAGTTTTGAATGGTTTTGATATGTACAGAATTTTTAAATTGTATTTAATGCTGAGCTATTTTCATGTAACCTTATCAGTTTGATCATGACCTCATGCAAGAACCATCTGTTCTGTCATTGAGTGTAGCTGTACTTGAATATTTTAAAAGCTGTTGCATTCTGTCCCTTTTTAGAACTTTATATACTTTTACAGTCTTACCACTTCTACTTAATATCACTTCAGAGGAAGGCTGATATAAAGAAACTGACAAGGAATGAAAAGCAGTAGATTATGGAAATAAGACATTTTGTTTTAACTGCATTCTTAAAATATGTTATCGTGTCATTTTTCATACAATATACATTTCACATAATTTGATCCTTTCAGAACTATTGAGGTGTTCTTTTTCTTTTTAACATTCTGTTTTTGTGAGTAATTTTCATAAGGAACATGAGTGGTTTTTAAAAGGAACTTAAACAACTTAGGTTGTAGATCTACTGAAGATACCCCTAAAATAGTATTTTAAAAGAATGTATTACATTTAGAAAACTCATGTTATTTTACTTTTTTTTTCTATTTTTGCATTTTACAACTGGCTATAAGATAGCACCTTATATGAAGAAGTAAATTAACTTTTTGATAAACAGGGGTTTTGTCACCTTTAAGGAAATTCACTATCCATTACCAGAGAGGTGATGATTTTAATGTTTTAGGTTTTTAAACATCACTCTGGCTTCTATGGGGAGAATGATTGTGTGGGTGGAGGGTAGTAAGAAGTACTAGAAGCAGAGGGCCAGTAATATGGAGACTATTGCAGTCATATACAGGCAGTATGAGGAGAGTATCATGAGAAATGGAGATTTAGCAGATTTTGGAGATAGAGGACTTGCTGATCAAGTTGCTGTTGGAGAGCAAAATAAAGAAAAGAATAAAGAATGACTAGGTTTTTGGCCTAATAAGCACCTGGGCATTTAGGAAAGACTATGGGTAAAGCAGTTTTGAGGAGAGCTATTGAAATCAAGAATTAGGTGCATATTATGCATCCATGTGAAGATAAAGTAGGGATTAGGTGTTCTAGTAAAGAGCTCAGAGGAGTTAACAGATGCTATGGGATAAATAATATTAGGGAGAATAAAGAAAGTTGCCTTCGTTGTAGAGTCTTCAAAGGGGACTCAGCAATAATGTTCTTTCCAGTGTACTCTGCCTCTGACTCTAAAATATTCCTGTAAGCCTTTCTGCTCACTTTCCAATTCCCATCCTTACCTTCAATCCATTAAATATTGTTGTTTGGCATAGTTCTAATGTGTTATTTTTTAGTTAAAATTGGTGAAGGCTGTAAAAAGTCTTGCAGTGATTCAAGAAGTTGTAATAGAAACTCATTAATAGTATGTTACTAAGAGAAAAAGTCTTCATTGGGGCATGTCAGAGAGAGAGAGAGAGGCTAGCCGCTATAAAAACGTCCTCCTGATTCCCAGAAAACAGTGGGAAAAAAGCTTATTTCACAGTAGCGATTCATGCTTGTGAAGAAACATAGCGAGCATTACTACTCTATAGGCGTGTGCTTGGCGAGCACAAAAGAGACTAAACTTTTTCAAATCCATTTCAGTGGATATGTCGGGACTAGGTTATAGATGCCAAAGTGGTTTAAAAGGCTTTGAGATAGATTTAAAATTATGGTGACCAGAAGGATTGGCAATGAAAGAGACATTTTTCTAGAAATGTCACGTAACGAAGGAAAAGTGACATTAATATCTCAGAAATAATAACTCAAATTTTACTTTCTGGGAACGAACAGATAATTCTGCTACAGACATTTTTTTTCTTTTTTGCCTATATTATTTATACCAGTTGTGCTTAAGTAACTATTGTTACAGCTTTGTAGTCTTTTTCTCATATTACAAAGAATAACCAAAATAGATGTCCTAGG